TCAGAGAAGATCAGAGATATTGAGAAAGCCATGGATGCTGAGGACATCTCCTACTTGAAGGTAGGAATGTGATTTTCCTGCATTGTTCTGTGTGATCCCTGCTTAGACTGCTGCCCCCGCGACCCAATAAGCAGCAGAAAATGGATGGATGGATGGATGGATGGATGTTCTGTGCTGAGACAAACAATCCTGTTCTGTGGCTGATACAGAAATACAGTTAAAACATCTGAGTGACACTAACCATTGTCACTCAGGAAATTATTATTTTTTTTTTTTAACAAAGCTTTTCCCCAAATGGCTGATTGTGAAAAAATTACAAACAGATTGTAAAATTTAATAAAAGAAACAAGCTGTGTATTACATATCAGTCAAATGTTGAATGACATTTATTCAGAGAAAGTATCACTTCACTCTACAGCAGGGGTGGTCAGTCTTACCCAGAAAGGGCTGCTGTGTATGTCGGTTTTCGCTGAAACTCCCTAATTATATTACTAATTAGAGGACTGATTGGCTGAAGAGTCCTCACACCTGGGGTTGAACAGCTGACCTAATGGTTATCCCAAACGCCTGCATACTGTCAGGGTCGGTGCCCTCTGATCCCACCTCCCGTGTCCTTTCCCCTTTGACCAGCAGGCGGTGCTGCTCATCCTGTCTTTCCCCTCTCTGTCCATCACCCTTGTGTGTTTTCCCTCTTCCCTGGGCTGCTGCATAGCTTAGAGTCCATGGGGCCTGTGGTCATGGGTTCGAGACTGAGGCCAGTCTCAGCTGTTATTCTGTATGTATTGTTTTGTTCCCTGGTGTTTTCTGTTTTCCTTTGTGAGTTTCCTGTTCTGTGTTTGTCTTCCTCATGCTTTGGTTGTACTTTGTTTTCTTGTTTTTTTCTAGTGCAGTTTCTCTTTGTTTTCTCAGTTTTCTGTCTTGGTTTCTTAGTTTCTGTCCCTATTAGTTGTTATTAATTCCAGCTGTTGCCCGTTTCCTTGTGCCAGTGTCTGTTTATTGGTTAATTGATTGTCTTACCCCTGTTCCTTGCCTGTCCCCCTTTTCTGTGTATTTGAGTGGCTGCCCTGCTCTGTCCCCCAGTCAGTCACTGTATTCACTGTTGTCATGTTACTCTCTGCTGCTCTGCCTGGTTTCCTTTTGTATCTTTGGTTTCCCCTATAAACCCCTGTTGTCCCTTGGAGCCGCAGTGGATCGTCACCTTCCTCTCCCCGCCTGCATCATGCCCCCCGTCTGACACTGGCCCTTTATGGATAAGATTGCCCCCCCCCCCTGCTCTACTGAGTCATTTCAGATTTACAGGGCATTTCTCACGATGTTTTATTTCCCATTTAATGCTTCTGCTTTGTTTTCCTGTTTTTCAGGCCATCAAGGACATCAAAGAAAAGTATGTAATAATAATTATTATATATTTCTCATTATAAAGTATGCTATTTAAAGATTATATTTCTCAGGAGATGATTCCAAGCCTCTTAAAGAAGGAACAAAATTAACTAGTAATTAATATTATATGAAGAATTCTGAACTGAGTGGAGTGACTGATGCTGATTCTCAGCCACCTTCCTCTAGGGGGCACTTCAGACCCCACAGCATCACTGACTCCTGCCTGTCACTGTCTTTGCAGTGTCCAGTGCTCACTGCAGGACCCAGAGCTGGAGTCAGGGGCGCTGATAGATGTGGCCAAACACCTGGGCTCTCTGAAGTTCAGAGTCTGGGAGAAGATGCTGGGGACTGTGCAGTACAGTGAGTACTGGGGGAAATGGCTGTATGAAGGAGAGAGCAGTATCTGAGTGGGTTATACTGTCACTCACTGGGAGCTTAGCCTAGCAGCACTGGTACAGTGAGTACTGGGGGAAATGGCTGAATAAAGCAGAGAGCAGTATCTGAGTGGGCTATACTGTCACTCACTGGGAGCTCAGCCTAGCAGCACTGGTACAGTGAGTACTGGGGGAAATGGCTGTATGAAGCAGAGAGCAGTATCTGAATGGGTTTTACTGTCACTCACTGGGAGCTCAGCCTAGCAGCACTGGTACCTGTCTCACGTTGATCTGTTATTGTCCTTCCTGTTACGTTTCTTTGGACTAAAGCATCTGATAAATGTATCTTTGCCAATGGAGCAGAGCGATGGGTTGTATGATCACTTATGCAAAGCTTTTTTAAACTTTACGAAATATTCACTAATCTACTGACATTCATCTTAACAGTACTGACCGATAGAAATCATTTTTTTGTTTCACAAAGTTTTAAATACTTCATAATGGTATTATTACCTATTTAAAATACTCCACTTTCCATTTAATCACTTTATTGATAAACTCCCTCACTGTATAATGTCAGCCTTATAATGCTGATGGTTTTTACTGCATTGAGACAGATTATTAACTGCAGCTTCCTCTCCAACCCACAGCTCCTGTGACTCTGGACCCAAATATTGCACACCCCCAGCTCTCTGTGTCTGATGATCTGACCACCGTGAGACACACTGGAGTTGAACAGCAGCTCCCTGACAACCCAGAGAGATTCGGTCTCTATGCAATTGTGCTGGGATCTGAGGGGTTTAACTCTGGAAAACACAGCTGGGAGGTGGAGGTGGGGGACAGACCTGAGTGGGATGTAGGAGTAGCAGCAGAGTCTGTTAAGAGGAAGGGGGAGATTACATGCAGCCCAGAGGCTGGATTCTGGGTTGTATCACTGAGGAACAATGATAAGTATACAGCATGTGGCTCCACCCTCAGGCTGGAGAGGAAACCGCAGAGGATCAGAGTGCAGCTGGACTATGACAGGGGGGAGGTGTCCTTCATCAACCCCACTGACATGTCACTCATCTACACCCTTAAAGACACATTCACTGGGACCCTGTTTCCATATTTCAGTACGGGTGGGTATGAGGATGGTAGCAATGCTGGAGATATGAAGATCTGTCCAGTAAAGGTGTGTGTGACAGTGACATCATCCCAGTAAAGGTGTGTGTGACAGTGACATCATCCCAGTAAAGGTGCTTGATTCAGTCCTTACATCCCAGTCAAGGTGTCATTTGTTGATATAAACCTGTAAACTCCTACAGATTTACACTTTGGGTTTCAGGTTAATTATTGACCTACAGGATTCGTGGTGGGGGGGGGCAGGTTACAAATCCTCTTAGATTAAAGGCCTGGGCATGTGTGACTCAGCAGGTTAGAATTCTGTGCCTGTGGTCAGCAGAATGACGTCACCATTGGGTCCCTGAGCAAGACCCTTAACATCCAAACCCCCCAGAGACTGTCTGCCCCTGTTTTCTAATGAACAAATGTATGTAACTTTGGATAAAAGTGTCTATGCAAGAAAAATGTAAAATGAAAACCCTCTTTAATAAACCTTTATCAGTTTATTACAGTGGTTATTGTGTGGCTCAGTCGGCTAAACCTCTATGTTTGTAATTTTAAGGTCACCAGTTTGATCCTGGCCTCAGCAGAGTAGTCAGCAATGAAATTTCCTTATGGTGATAAATAATGCATCACTATTCTATTTGGGCTGTGATGCATTTACATAGTATCAACATATTGCCGAAGTACCACATCAGTAAATGTAATCTTAATAAAATCACACATTCTTTGAAACATCACATGACCTTTTGACCACATCTCCATAATGTGTCCCCTTCATTATAAACCAGTTTGTTCTGTATGGGACCCAAGTCCCTGTCACTTCAGTGACCAATGGGCCACTCCATGCAGTGACAGCTGAGAGAACTTCACAGATTGAGGGGCAAAAACGTGGGTCTCTGGCACTGAGCCCCTGAAAGTGTCACAGACTCTCTGAACAGACAGAATCATGAGGACCAAGCAGCACAGTGATGTTTGTGGATCTTCCTGCTGTCAAATAAAACAAACACCTGCTGAATTTCAGTGCTGAATCTCAGATTAGTAGATAAAACCTCCACACATCAAGGTGACAGGAGTCTGGGTATATGGTGATGACACACACCTCAGTTAAAATCAGTTAAAAGTGGAAATTCTTTGCAGATCAGGTCAAATTTTTCAGTGAAGGTTTCAGAAGCAGTGCAACCTGCTGGGATCTGGAAAACAGGGGAGTGGGCACGACTCTGGAAAGGATTCATTTGTGGGTAAGACAGGAACATCTAACGTTAACACCTGCAGACCAGCACAGTCAGGATGCAGTGAAAAGCCAGTGTGAAAGGAGCAGCGGCAGGGATCGTTAACCTGAGCAAACAAGGACAAACGTGTGCGGCGAGATTCGTTTGTCATCTGGGACATCAAAGTATCTGTCAGAATCTCCACGGTGAGGAGATGCTGTTTCCCTCCATGCAGCCCAGCAGCCCACATACTGTACGCCAGGATGAAACTCCGTAGCGCCACTAAATACTCACACTAAACGGCTATAGTAAATGTCCAGTTGGTAAGTGGGCAAATGTATATCACCATAACTCAAAATGGCCAGAATTAAAACACATGCGAGGCACGTATTGAAGGTCCATATCCAAAAACGAAAGCTAAATACGTAACTAACGACAAACCCACAATTGCCCTAAAGTATGCTAAAAAGTACGTGATTTCATACGTAGTGTAATACAGAACACACTGACAAAATTAAAATCACAAAGTACTGTACTAGAATTACAAGACAGATAGTTAAAGACATTCGCATTTTCTCTGAAATGCACCTTATCTGTAGGTCAGGAAAGATTTTACACCTGCTTCCGGTTACATGGACTGACATCATATTCTCGCGAGAACCACGAGTGTCGCGTAGTTAACTTTATCCATCCATGCATCCATTCATCTATCCATCTTCCAGTAGCTCAGTGGTTCCTAAACTTTCTCTGCAGGGCCCCCTTTTTCTAGATAGGAACATTATTGAGCCCCCCCCCCATTCAAACTACACAGGTTCAGATTCAAACTTCATTTGAAACACAACTACCTTTTCTAATTGAGCGAAACAAATGCAATTACAAAATACAAATGGTGCAATTTCACCACTGTGGGAGAAACAAGAGCAATCAATTAAAAATAAAAGTCCAGCATAAGTTTGAAATTATGCAAATACAGATTTAACATTCCTGTTAATATCCATTGGCGTACACAAATTAAAGTTTGTTTTAGGATTACCGCATTTTGTTTTTCATGATAACCGCAGGTTTCAGCCTATACTATAGCACAAAACAACACTAAATCATACGCATTAATTGATAGTCTCCCTGCACTTCATGTAGAAAATTTTAAACTTCGTTTTTCCTGATATGGTTAGATTTTTTTGTCCGGCACTGCAAAACGTCGTCATGCGTCACCATGTCACATGATACAAAAACCTTGCAAGAGCAAGACAACTTAAGACCGATCGTACAGCACCATACCTCTCAGCCGGCTGAACAAACTGGAACAGCCTCCGTGACGACACACCTTTGCCCTTATTGGCTGAAGAGTTTAGTTACATGCATGACGTTTGTATCCTAGGCAGTTCCGATGCGTAATCTGCTATTTCTCCCGAATATCACGTAAAGCAGTGGTTTTCAGTTAATTTAGCTGGTAAAATAAAGTTTAAATAAATGACATAAATGCTCTAATAGTACACGTAAGTTAGTGGTTTATTTATTGTTAGTTACTGTAATGTTGCGCTGCTTTATTTGTTTAATCGTCCAGTCTGTGAAGAGATTAATTTAGGGTGGCACATGCCCCTGAGGCTATCCCATTGGTGCGCCCCTCCGCAATACCTCTGCGCCCCCCAGTTTAGGAACCACTGCAGTAGCTTATCCCAGTCATGGTCGCGCGGGACTGGCAGCCTATTTTGTGGATGCCAGTCCATCACATTGCACATATATGCAGACACAGTCATATACGATGGGTAATCTGTCGAACTGCATTTCTTTGTTTAATTATTGCACAAATATGCCATCTCGTGGACACATGAACAATTGCATGCACACTGTAGCAGAGATCTGACACAGCAGGGCGGTGAGGCATGCTGGGTAGTGGTTACAGGCACCACCGGTCCGAACCGAAAACTAGCAACGGTTCAATTCAAGCATGGGGGTGTCGCGGTTAGATCCTGAACAGATACATCCCAAACCTAGAATAAACCATGCGCATAGCTAGTCTTAAAAACATGCCGTTTAATTCCTATGTTTAGCTTACCTGACATCACACCTGTGCTTACCTGTGCTATCAAACCCAATTATGTGCACGACTGTAACACCACCGCTAGATGGAGCCCCAAGCTGCAAATGACGAACGTCTTATTTCTCCGCTTGATCTTGGCATCAATGTATCCAACCTTCAAAGCGCTTTATGTGGGTTACGGGTGACATAAAACCATTAAATAAAACAGTAACATTTGTGCAAACATACATCCTCATTAAAACAACACGCAATAACCAATTCAAAGGTAAATTAGGGACAGAGACAGCAAATATTTGTATCTTAGTACTTTAATAATGGTTTAAATTTTTGTACATAATCATAGACACAAAAATATTCAATTGCATTTCACTCAATATGATTTATCAGAAGTGACGTTTCTTTTTAATGCTGCTGCTTGGTTTAGTATTTTAAGACAACGTTAATTGCTACTCAGATTAATAACCAATGTATAAATATTTCACATTATTGACATAACGAAGTTCCTTCACAGTTGTTTTCAGTAGTGAATTAATTCTAATGCTAGATTAAGACATTTTAAACCTCTAGTCACGTAGTAAAATATTTACAGTGTATTTAAATAATGAAATGCATTTTTTTGTGACAAAAGTCCAGCATTTGAAAGGAATGACAGCATAAGAACTGAAATGGGAATCAAGGGGGGGGGAAAAAACAGTAAAATGTATAACAAACCAAACTTTAAGACCTGACACCTTATTCGAAATTGTATTTAAAAATGCCACGTTTATCCCAGTGTCGGCAGTATTAGCGATCAACTGAATTCACATTAACCCTTTCAAGTCTTTAAGAAAATTCCCGTTATAATAAAAATAAACCGTTCCTTCATTTTCCAGTATTGCTCTCCTACGCGCCCAATTTACAAAAAAAAAAAACTGCATTCCATTGTGTGTACATTAGAAATTACACAATGAAAATCAAATCCATCTAATCAAAGCAGAGTAGTTTCTGAAGGAGTCTCAAAAAGTAAAGAACGCAAATGCAGTGTCAAGCTAGCAGGTTGGACCCTTCATATTACTGAAGTCTTCTTCAGTTCGAGCAGCCTGTCCAGTAAGATGTCTATGGGACAGTGCTGTACGTCATCTGTGTTACCACTGTGTCATCACTGTGTCACCACTGCAACAGATCAATTAAAACATCTGTAGTAAATTCCTGTACAGAACACCTACCCTCGCACACCTCACCACAGGAATACAAACTTGATTGAAATCATTTGTTTTAAAATCCTCCTCCGTGTGATGAGACGTTCCACAGACGAGAGGCGTCAGGCGGTTTAGGAAAGAAATCCGAGACTGCAGTCGACATCACGTCGGCCTGGCGTGAATCAGCATTCCACGCTCACCCACCGATTCTCCTGCTACCACGACGTCAAGGTCCACGACCTCCTCGTGCCACGGATTCACAGCTCGGCCTTGATCTTGTGCATCAGGTCCTTCTGGTCGATCATCTCCAGCTGCCGGTTCCAGCGGTGGTAGGCCAGTAGGGCGATGTTCTTGGCCGCCACGGAGCTCATCTCCATCGCGCTGCCTGCCCACTCCATACCGTTGAGGTAGTAGAGGTTCTCATGCAGTATAACGGGAGGGAGACCCTGCGTGCTTCCATAGTGAGGATAGGCCTGCCAGTCCCTCACTTGTACAGAGTAGTAAGACTTGAAGAGCGTCTTGAGTTCCTCCTTGCCGAGTGGCTTCTGGGAGAAGACCTTGTAGATGCCGGCCTCCTGCGGCTGCTTGCGGCGGAAGCCGGCGCTGATGTTGACGGGGCAGATGCTGGCCGCGCTGTTGAAGAAGAGTCCCGGGGTGTCGGTGGTCAGGACGCTGGCGAAGGGGAAGAGCTTGGGGTCGGGGAAGCCGAAGTAGGAGCAGTTGAGGTAGCCGTGGACGATGGAGGCCACCGTGACATGGTAGGAGCCGGTGATCTCCGGAAGGGGCGGCTCGAAGCCCTCGAAGAAGATGCCCGGCCCCACCCCGTCCTGCAGGGGGGTGGCCACCACCACGATGTCATAGAGCTCTGTGCCAGTCTCCGTTGGAGTATCGTAGTTGACTTGGTACAGGCTGGACTCCCCTTCCATACAAAAAGCCACAAGATCCATGAAAACAACAGATTATATTTCAATGGATTATTGAGACTTTAACAGCAAGGACATAGCTGTAAAAAAATCACTGAAAATATATCGATGATGATCTTCTAAGATTCTGTGTTTAGCTGCACTTTGCCAAAC